TTCACTCTCGGCTAACACTCCTCCGGAAGGTCATGCTTTTCACCCCAGGGTACTTCTTGCCCTCCTTGTTTGCCTCTGCCCTTCCATCCTGCATCTCCATATCCTCAGCCCCGTCCCTGACTTTGATGTCATCTGTGGTCTCCCTCTTGATCTCTGAAGACTGGTCTTCCGTCTTGCCGCTCCCCATCCAACCAGCACCCTCCTTGTCCCCTCCCAGAGCTTCTTCTTTCGTTGTGTTTTCGCTCTGGCTGCCATCTGGGCTCTTGGGGGGAGTGCAGGGGTTGCCGCCGCCGAGGGCTTCATCCTTCCTGGACTCCGTGGGTTTCTTGTTTGTCTCTCCTCCCCTGCTGCATGACGGACTGGGGCTGGAGGAGGAGGTGTCATCGGCCTCCGTGCGGTCCTGCTTGGCCCTGTTTGCGCTCAGCCTGGTCTGGCCAGGGCGGTAGAGGGCCATGGTTGGTCGGTCCTGTGAGGTATGGAATATATGGAGAAATTAGGGCTAGGGTTTGTGTAAATCATGAAAACTTTTATGTTTGTGATAAATTTTGGAAATGTTTAAGAAATGATGTGACTTCACAGTAAAACCTTCAAAAATACAAAGAAAAAAATCAACCACTTGAAGGATCAAAACTATAATTGAGCTGATATGTTCTAAAATTATACACCAGATCATATCCATACACAAAACAAAAAGAATCAGTTTGTTGTGTAAATAGCTATTGAGAAATGCCTTCAGTGCTTTCAATAGCTTTGTTCAATGTTAATTTTACATTATCATTCTTTAATACTTCAGAAATGCATAACAAGAAGTAAAGAGTTTTGACAATCATATAACCCATCAGCGACGGGTAAAAATTTTGTCAGTTTACGTATGCACCGGCTTGTTGGTGCGCACTGACAGTTTCCCCTGTTTGCGCCGGCTCGATCGGTAGTTTGCGAGCGACATATAGCACCTAAAAGCTTTTATTTTTGCTAAATTTATAAAAATATTAAAATTTTGAAGGTTTATCTTCACTTTAGGTGCCATGCCTAAAATCTTTACCATATAAATGAAGCCGCTACTACTGAAGAAAAACAACCTCCATCTGATGAGCCAGTAGCGCGGGAATGGGCATGGCATGATGCCCCCGGTGTTTGGTCCACAACAACCATGGCATGTACGTACGTGACACCCGGCGCCAATGGGTTAATACTTATTTTACATTATCATTCTTTAATACTTCAGAAATGCATAACAAGAAGTAAAGAGTTTTGACAATCATATATTTATACTGCCTGATATCTATTACATTCCTGTTTTTTTATATAACAAGAATTATTGGAGGAACAATTTGAATGAGTGAGTGAGTGAGTTGAGTTGAGTGAAGTGGTGAGTGAGTGAGTGAGTGAGTGAGTGAGTGAGTGCGTGTGTGGCATGAGTATGTTTTTTTTCTTTTCCTTTTTACCTTATTGCGTATTCTCCTTTCTGCTCTCGGGTCCTTTTCTCTCCTTTTCCTGGTTTTCTCCTCTGATCTAACTTCTTCCTTCTGTCCTCCCTCCTTCTCCACTTCTCCTTTCCTTTTGATTGTGTTTAGTGGGTGATTCTCTCTTCCTCTCTTTGTCTCTCTTTGCGGGGGAACTGGCCTCCTTTGGCTTAATTGTTATAATTTCCTTTTCCTTCACTTTAGTGCCTCCTCCTGCTCCACCTTTCTCCTCCTGTCTCTCATTTCCCTCTTCCTCAACCTCTCCCATCTTTGCTTCTTTCTCCGTCCTCTTCTTCTCCTCCTTCATCCTTTTCTCCCTCTCCGACGACCTTCACTGTAACGCTTGGATTTTGCACCTTCTAGCTTGCCCGTTTGTGTCCTTTCCTGGCACTTCCTCCCTACTTCCTCTTCTTCTTCTTCCAGTTCTTTCTTGTCTTCTGGCGCGTTTCTTCTCTGGCCTCATCCCTGTATCTCGCTCTGTCTTCCTCTTTTAGCTTTGCCTTCTCTTCAAGTCTTCTCATTCTAGGAAATATTCATATAAAATGAATAAGAATAACCAGGGATAACGTTAAAAAGGGGAGAGATATAGAACAAAACCATCAAATCAAACAAAGCTATTATTAATTTTATATATTAGAGCAACTACTAGCTGACGTTTATTCATGTTACAAATGTAGAAAAGGTATGAATGAGAAAATGATATCTATACAATGCAAGTGATGTATTTAACCAGTTTCAATTGTATCTTCAACAGAAATACATGTATTTCTGATGAAAATACATTTGAAACCGGTAAAATACATCTCTTGAATTATTAAGAAATAAAACATGGTATATTGATACATTCATTCTCAATTAAACCTTTTTTTTACTACAACTAGCTACTACTGCTCTGTTTGAGATTATAGATATGTGCAACTCGTCAACAAAATAATTTGTAATAATTTTTGCTGAGATTATGAAGATAATAACAGAACTCGTCACAAAAGGATTGTGGTAATTTTGAATCAGAAAAAAAAGAGAAGCCATAGAGATTGATGAAAATGCAGGACAAACTTCTCTCTCTCTCTTCTCTCGTTTTCTTTCCTGTCCTTCTTTCCTCTCCTCTTCTCTCCTCTCTCTTTCTCTCTGCTTCCCTCCCTTTCAAAACGCTCTCTGTCTCTCTCCTGTTTTGTCTTCTCTTGTCTCCCTTCGGCAGCATAGGGTTCTTTCCCTCTCTCCGGTCGCAAAACCTGTATGAAGGCAGGTTAATGATTTGATGATATTCTATACCTTCAAAATATTGTTTAATTTTCTACCCAAATATTTTAGTATGGCTCTTGAAATATGATGTAAAATTACTGAATTTCTTTTTAAACGAATAACACCATGAAATATATAGAACGTATTTATTTTTATTTCTTACACAAAGTGATCTGAAATTTTCCCTAAACATACAAGCGAGAACAAGAACTTATTGCCATTACTAATACTATCATTACTAGGTATAAAATGTTAGATATGGTGATGGTAATAATTTGATAATAACAAAGACAATAAAAATAATAACAACAAAGAAAAAAACTAAACCAAGGAAAAAATACCATCATCATAAAAAAAGAAAGAAAAGACAGGGAAAAACAAGAAACAAAAAAACATAGCAGTTCTCTGACATTGAGAACATGATTATCCCTTACTTCTCTCACTTTCACGGAGCCGTCCTCTTTCACCTCTCTCACTTCCTCTTTCTTGACTTCTCTGTGGTCCCTGAAGTCCTTCCTCTTCTTCTTGTCTTCTTCCCGAGCTTTCTTCCTCTCAAATTCCTTCCTCCGCCTTTCCTCTCGCCTCTCCTCTTTTGTTCTTAACTTCTCTGCTTTCTTCTGTTCGATAAACTCGAGAAGTGGAGTTTTCACCTTTATGATTCCATTGTTGGCTGAAAAACATTAAAAAAAATAAATACAATCTAATAAGTCTGGAAAATGTGCCAGGCTCTATCTAATTATAATTTAAGTTAATATGAATGAAAGCAGTATTAATAATAATAATTATTATTATTAAAATAATAATAATGACAGTGATGATAATACTCTAATAATAATAGCACTAAATGACACTGACAGAGCAATGAAAAAGGCAACAGAAAACTGCTAAAAGAACACATAGTACACAATAAGAATCTATTTTTCATTTTACTTGTTGGCAATGGTTTAAGATGTATTAAACAAACCATTCACTATAGGACACCACAAAATATCTACACGTAAGGTTTTACCTAGTTGTACTACCATTAAAGCAATATTCAATCCATTCACTATAGGACACCACAAAGGTATATTGAACTATGTGTCAAAGTTTGAACAGAGTCAGCTGCTTCAGGGAAAACTAGATGTGCAGGAAACATAAAATTATTCTGCTCTCTATGCTTTTGGCAATGGCATAAACAATTGTTTAGGTAATATGCCTTTAAAGAGGCTTTAAGTCTACTTTTTAAAGTCTTTCTTCTCAAAAATTGCAGCTATGGCCAAACAAGTGTGCACTAGTGTACTTATAGCAAGCCACTGCATATGATGTGATGATGTCATTCTTGTGTAATGGATAGTTACTATGATGCGTTAGAACAATGTGCCATCATGAATGGGTTAATAAACATCTTTGCTCTGCTTTGTGTTACTAGATATGCTAACTTTTTCATTTTCACAAAACTTGTAAACAAGTTATTTGCAGCTTCAGCAAAGTATGTATACAGACTAACTCACAGAGATTATTACTCTCCTCATAGTCAACAAAAAACAACATTATAATAAAAGAAAGAAAAACTAGGACAAGCACATTAGTTCATCTGTACCTTTTAACTCCCGTTCATGAGCTTGTATCTCTTCCAAAACAACCTCTAGTGTTGGAAGCTGGACTGACTCTGGTTTTTCTAGAGATTCCAGAAATGCCATAAAGTCTGGGTCCTGGTCTATGGTCCCTACTCGTATATCCTTCTTCTTGTTTCCGGCTCTTTTTGGTATCTTCTGAAATGGGGCATATTCCACCATAGCTGGGTATTCATTACCTGTTAAGAATGATGAAATTTTTAGGGTAAACTTGAAAGGTTTTATGACAAAAAGAATAAATTATCAAAGATAATATTCAGTATAATTTGTATTGATATCAATTAATAGCATGACTGACATTTCAATATTACATTGTCACAAACAAGAATCCATAAAATACCTTTCTTATCGACAAACACATAGCTGTCGAACCTGTCTCGAAAGGTGAAAACATCATCTGTGTTTTTAAAATTAATGTAAGCTCGAGAGAAAGCATGAGCCCCGAGACTCTTGTCGGCAGGGACGAAGCTGAAATAATCATACTCTGCAAGTGGTGACACAGCTTCCAAAAATTCTTCCTCTGTCATGGTTGGGGGCAGACGACGTGCCACCACCTGTCACATGAGAATGTGCCCTTTTAACTTTCACTGTCAATTGTTGGTAAATTATTCTCACACTACTAATAACCAGTGGGCCACAATGGAAATGTTTACTCAATCTACAATGACACTTTATATCT